ATATATTACGAGAATTAAAAAAAGTGTGGTATTAATTATTGGCAATTACTATACTATTACTATATATAAAATAAATTTGTCGTACTAATATATATTTCACTTTTGTACATCTATACTAAAGCTATATTTTACCATTACATGGGGGTCTCGTTGTCATTAATTATAATAACTTAGTTATTGAATTAATTCATCAGCACTTCACTACATAATAGCAAATAAAACACAAATGTTATTAATAAATCATGTCCATATATGTATACATTAAGACCGAAAAGTTTTCGGAAATTCTCATTTAAAATTCGCGCGCTGTATATTTTTCGATATTTTAAGTTTATGTAGTTTGGCAGCAATTAAGGACAATTACTATGCCAAAAATGAGCGCGATCTTTCAGACAGTTCGTTTACGGCAGCTGTTGAAACCAGTTCACCTCAGTAGTGCGTTGCGAAAAAAACAATGGAAAAAAATATTGAACAAAGAGTTTGCATCAAATTTTGTGTTCCGAACGAAATTTCGTGTGCAGAATCGTTGCGAATGCTACAAAAGGCTTATGGGGAATCAGTTTTATCGAAAACTCAAGTTTATGAGTGGTACAAAGCCTTTCAGGACGGTCGTACGACCGTCGAAGACATTTCGCAACGCACTACTGAGGTGAACTGGTTTCAACAGCTGCCGTAAACGAACTGTCTGACAGATCGCGCTCATTTTTGTCATAGTAATTAAGGACAGTGCTGCCAAACTACATAAACTTAAAATATCGAAAAATATACAGCGCGCGAATTTTAAATGAGAATTTCCGAAAACTTTTCAGTCTTAATGTATATACATACATATGAAATTGTACAAAATATTAACATTACTGCCCTTAATAAGTACATATACATATATGTAAATTTATTACTTGTTAACAAAAGATAACATTAGATTTAATGTGAGGAAAACTTATTATTAAAAATAGTGACAATTATTATTAACAGTAAAAAAATATCGAATTTATATATAAATAAATGTTATAAGGAAAAATGATTATCAAAATAACGCGTTGTGTATAATTAATTAAAAAATGTTAATGATATACGAAGTTCATTTTTTTAGATTTATAATAACATTAAAATTTAAAACAATAATTAAAAAAATAACCGTAACTCATAAAAAAATATACGACATAAAAAACATTAAAAAATTAAATATATTTTTACTCTAAGTTCAAAGTGCAGACTTAAAACTTAGAAAAGCAGAAATGGCTACTTTTTAATAAACCATTTATTTGCAAAAATATTTGGATAAGAAATAAATATAATTATTTTATAATTGAAAATTAAATGCTTCACTCACAATTCTTTAAAAATAATGTGTATACATATAAATATATATGTGAAGACACGATATCTTAAAAATATTAATAAGGTGTGTAGCTGTATGAAACAGTCCTCCAGTCCTCGAAAGCAGTGTTTCTTATTCGATGATCCATAAAAAATTATGGTGGTATTAATATATATATAAATATATATATACATATATATATATAAATATATATATACATATATATACATATATACATATATACATATATACCTATATATAATAAATTGTTGTTACGACAAATATTGAATTAGTTTTTATATTTGTTACTGGACTTTATATTAAATATAAATAATTTTATATAAAAATTAAAATATAACTAAATATTTAACACAGTTTAAAAAGTGTAATTTTTTATTTTATTTAAAAAACATTTTTATAAATTTATGTGTTAAAAAAACGACTTAAGCCCAGTAACAAATATAACAACTATATAATATATATATATTATAACAAGTATATGATATAAAGCTATAGCATTTTTGCCGTCTGTCGGAAATATTATATTTTAACGGTATTATTTTTATACTCAGCAACTTATAGTATAGAAGCTGTATTAAAACAATAGAAAGAAATATATGTTACATATGAATACATGCATATATATATCTCTGGAATATACAAACTTTTTAGCCGATTTTCTAACGAAGTTCAAACTGAGTATTCTGATTATTCAAATAAATAGACTGATTAAACAGTTGCTCTATTTAGAATAAATACACTTAGTACTTACATTAAATATAAGTCTAAATAACAGATTTATGAACAGATTTATAATTTTAAAATCTTCAGAATTGAGATTCTTGATGTAGTAAACGGATATCTTGAATACAATAATCCTCCTAACATTCGCATTGAATATAAATCGCCGTACCCTATTATATAGTAATTTGAAAAATTAAAAACTATTTGAATTGAAAATTTTAATCCAGTAAGATAGATATTAGCTGAATGAAGATACAAATTTAATATAAACTATTAAATTTTTAGAAAACTGTTACAAAAACATATACTATACTACACACTTTCATTCAATAGAAAGAATATCAATGACGTCAAAAAACGTGAATATTTAATAAATTTTGTAGCATTTAAGCGGAATATATACGCTTTTTATCAATCTCAATATAATAGGATTTTTGTCTATATATAGAACTCAATCTTCCCAATGTCTTTTTTTTTTCTTTACACGTGTGTTGAGGTGTATGTGGTAAAACATCTTCCTATAGTACGTGTAAACCTTATCTCATTTTTAAAAAAATATTTTTTTTTAATTAGAAACGCTAAAATTTGGAATGTGAATCTAAACGAATAACGCTTGAATGAAGCGAAAACAATTCAAACTTTATGATAGAGGAGGGAAATACGATAAAACGTTCCACAACTTCGATATAACAAATCTAAGCTATATCAAATTTTATAATTTGATGTGCAGGCCTTCAGACGCCAGTTGGCTGACCGAAACTCCGTCATCCTGTTAAGCCTATATCCACCTTAATGGGTAAAGGCCCATGCCCTCAATACATCGCCAGTGTATACAATACATGATCATGTTATTTAAAATATTTATTTTACATATTTCGTTTCTGTTTGACTTTATATAATCTACACAATACTAACTCCTTTTTAATTATAATAGAGAGGTAATTATAATAGACCACTGATGATGGGTATTTGAGAATACTCAAAACAGCTGTATGGTTAACCAATTTATATTTTTGGTGTTTCGCAATAGATTGCTTTTTTTGTGATTTTATTTTTAAATTTTTGGAGTAAACACAATTACAACGAATAAACAGAATACAAACGTTGAAAACTGCATTATTTTTTTTTTAATTTTTTTTGTTTCGTTTTGTTGTTATTACAGCAAATTTAGTTAAAATTTAAAAATTTAGTTAATGACGAATACTTTTTTTGACCGCTGTATATATTTTTGAATGGACCAATTATGTATTGAATTTGTTGCTATATTATAAAAATTTGTATTATATTAGTACGACTATAGACTGTAGTCAAAATATCGTTGCAAATAAAATATATTTTTTAATATTAATTTAAAAAATTGGTTATTATTTAACACTGTGGGGTTAGTACATTCAAAAATATGTATAGTAATATTTTAGCGAAAGCTTTATCGGTAGGACTAACAGTTCTGAATATAACTATAGACTATAGTCAAAATATCGTTGCAAATAAAATATACTTTTTGAAACTTATAAAAAAAATTGTGACCAATTAGTCCATTCAAAAATATACAAAATAATTTTTAAAATAATCTCGATTAGTAATTATTTTTTGAAATTATTTTTAAATAGTTTTTTAATATTAATTTAGAAAATTGCTTATTATTTAACACTCTGGGGTTAGTACATTCAAAAATATGTATAGTAATATTTTAGCGAAAGCTTTATCGGTAGGACTTTCAGTTCTGAATATAACTATAGACTATAGTCAAAATATCGTTGCAAATAAAATATACTTTTTGAAACTTATAAAAAAAATTGTGACCAATTAGTCCATTCAAAAATATACAAAATAATTTTTTAAATAATCTCGATTAGTAATTATTTTTTGAAATTATTTTTAAATGGTTTTTATATATTTTTTAATTCGGCTATAGATCTCTTTTTTGTTAAATAGTTAAATAATTCAAAGTTTAATTTTTTTTTTGTAGAGCGTGATCCTGATGATGACTCTCAAGGAGAGTCGAAATGTAGAGTATAATAAATAAACGTATAATGTTGAATTATTTAACAAAAAAACGGACCTATTGCCGAATTAAAAAATATATAAAAACTATTACAAAAAAAAAACCGGATAAACATATACAAAAAAATTTTATTATTTTTAAATTAAATAAGAAAATATCGAAAAACTTTCTCGCTAACTTAAAGTTCTGCTTTTTTGTCAATGACGTGCGTTAAATGAATTTATTTATTAACTTTCCCCGAATTCGAACTATTGTCAAATATAAATTGTGTTTATTTGTCTATTTAATTTTGACTTTTTTCGTTTTGCATGATTCATGATTTATTATTATATATATATTGTTAACTATTATTTTTATCTTTTAATTTTAACTAAAAACCTAAAATCTGACTAAAAGCACTGCCGATGTATTACTACCCCGCCTCCCATTCGCTCCCTCGCCTGCTTGCTGATAAAGCATTTCAAAGTAATTTACCAAATTTAAAAAATTAATGTGCTATATACATTAATATATTTAAAAAAAAAAAAAAATAATAATAAAACGTTAACACTGATAAGCTTGAAATGTTTGTAACTGAAATATGTGTTATATATAAAATATTTATAATGCAGAGTATGATTCGGATTCGTTGTCATGTAATGCATGTGTAAAGCACCTCAATGTGGCAAGCAGTTTTTCTTGTTTAATTAAACAATAGTCGTATTGATTTTTGCGAAACAATCTAACAAGGGCAGTTTAAAGCAGCCGCAGTGAGGCGGGCAATGCATGTATTAATATATAATATCTTCTAATTACGGTTTCCATAAATATACTTATATCGTTATGCAGCCATGTAAGGAAATTATTTGTTATGTGATGCATATATTTTTGTATAAATGAATGCCTAGTGTAAGGTGCTTTGTTTAGTAATATTAAGCGCAATGCTATTACCTTGACAATCCAGTTCCAAAACGGGTGCATAATGTAAACACTCAACGGGGAGGTATCTCGTGCGCTGTACTAAAAATAAAAACAAAAAAAAAATTTATTTTCAGTTAATTTTGAAAATGTTTTATTTTATTGCAATTATTTATATTATTTATCTAACTTACCTTATAATGATCGAATCCACTGAGATGCTCCTTAGACAAATATTTATAATTAAGCAGCTGTTGCATATACATGGTGGTTTGTTGTTTTAAAAGCGTTGGCATAAAAGAATACAATTATTATTGTTGTAATATAAACTGCAAGGAGAGTCTGTGCAAGTTGTTATTCAGTTGGAGTAGTTGATTTAATTAGGGATGTTGGATAGGGTGTGCAATCGTACTGTATAGATTATCCTTTGTCTGCAATTTCAATATTTTCCCATTATCCACAATAAAACAAAATTTATCAGCTAAACGCGTACTACTTTTCTCTTAACAGCCGGCGGTTTCTTTGCACAATTAGCAATTTATTTTCGCTTATTTCTTTTTTCTTATTTCTTAATTATTTACAATTATTATGCCGATCTCGTATCGGATATAACCAATAGATTGGTATTGAACATCGCACACGGCGCCATACACAAAAACACAAAACACTTCGCCGCTATTTCGCTTGTCCCTGAAATGTTAATATTGATAAATGCTGTGGGAGTTTGCTGTTGCAGTATTTTACAAAGCAATCACAAACAGCATCCCCTAAGAAACTCTTCAAAAAGCTGATATGATTTTCTTTTATTATTTAATATTGTCGAATTAATTAAATGTTTTGAGCGCGCACAATATTTATCACTTTTCACAACACAAAAATCACCTAATTTATTTTCATCAATACGATTTCACGTGCTTGCTTTCTATTGCAATTATTAGCCTTAATTTAATTCAAAAAACTTAATTTAATTTAATAAAAAATAAACTATCCCTATAAAACATATATATTACCCGTCACCAGCGCCGCCGCATTGCCGCTAACTAATAAAATCGAAACTGGAATAATTTGATTTGACTCAACACGCTGTCCGCTGAACAGCTGACTTACCTGAGTAAAAAAAATTTGACTGAAAAAAGTGTTGAGAAACTCACAAAATTTTTTACAAACACGAAACACACTGTCAATGTTGGAATATAAAAATTTTCAAAAATTTATTGACTAATATCAACTAATATGTTTTTATTTTCAATGACATAGCTTACTATGATCTAGTAGTTGATATGTGGTCATAATGACTAATAGTCACAGCAGTGTTTTATACTGCATTCACACCAGCACTGAAAGTGAAGAACTACGATTTACTATTACATATTATGTTCAGACACACCTTAATTTTACAAAAATCTTAATTTCATCTTCGTTTCAGCGAAATTAAGTTCATTTTGCCATACAAAATTCAATTTTGAGGTTAGAACGATATTAAGAAAAATTGCCTTAATTTCATTGAAACGAAAGCTAAAATTAAGGGACATTTGAAATGCAACTATGCGTGGGATAAATTATAAGCAAAAGAAAAAGTTCAGATAATGAGAAAATGACATATTTTTTAAATAAATGTTAATGACAGTTGATTTTATTTGTAAACAAAAAACATATAATTTACTTAATTTAGGAAAGTGCCCCAATTAATGCCACAATTAACTTAATTTCATTTTTAAGTAATTAAGAAAATTTGTCTGAACATAGTTTTAAAGTCAGTTCTGTTTTTTTAAGAATATTAACTTTTATTTCAATTAACTTCATGAAGTATTATTATGAATTTACCTGATGAAGGCAAAAGCGAATTTACCGAAATAAGTATAGAAATATAATAAAAATAACAATCGAATTAAAAGTTAAAATTCTTAAAACAACAAAATCGACTTTAAAGTAGTTCCGATGTAACAACTAAAAAATAAAAACAAAATTATACAATTTACTAATATATCCAAGCTGAAATTGATTTATTGCAATAAATCGAAGTAACTAACCAAGACAAATGTTCTATCTAAATATTTTGATTTATTGTAATTAAAAATTTTATTTTCAAAAAGATATTCTCTGATTTTAATTAACGAAACGTCAAATTAATTTCTTTTAATTACATTCGCTTTTTCTACACAAATTATTTCTTTCAAAAAATAGAAAACGAATAAAAACGAATCACAAATAATGGATTTTACGATATTTGTAAAATTAATTGAAAAAATCATATATGCTATCACATTAGTAAAAATTTAAGTAAAAATTTGTACTGTGCAAAACGTGAACATAAATGTCATATTATTAAGGTTTTTGTTTTTTGGTTGAGTATATTCAGTTTTTAATACTTACAAAATTTAAACAGAAACCTGCGTTTTGAAGACAATAAATCTAGAATTGCAATAAATCTGCAGAAACACTTCACGGTATTTGTTACTATCCGTATTTCTTTACGAATTCCATTAATTGGAATAAATGCTATTAATTACAATTATTGGTGCAGTTTTCTACAAAAAATTAGAACAAAAGTTAATAACCCAATCTTAAATTTTTATTTCGTTTTGAAGTATATGCAGACTGTCAATATATATTTTCAATATAATACGCCTACTACAACTATTTTTAATCGTTTTGATTGAGCCTAATTTTAACAATATTTTTATGCCCACACATTTACACAAAAATATAGAATTTTATATATATTTACTACCAAAAGGCGAAATTAGTGAGAAACACTACTCGGACTAGCGTAACGACACATACAGAAAACCTTATCATTGCCACTAAACCATAATCGAATTTTCTCTTCTGCTATTTATATAAAATTTTTAATTTTCATTAAAAAACAATATTAATTTTACATGATGTGACCATAACAGTCTCTATAACATAGACTTACAGGGCAATTCAGATCGTTAAAAGTCGCGTAAGATCTTTGTGAAAAATACCATAAACAGATGCTAATCCTTACCGCATGCAAGTAAACAATTGAATATTAATACAAATGTATTAGAAAGATATAAGTTCCATTATTATTATTATATATACATAAATTATTATTTATTAAATTTCAGTCATGTCATGAAAGAAATAATAGCAGTTATTGCTGCATTTACACAGCAGTGACAAAAAAAATTAATTAGTTTTATAATTATAGCTTAAATATATATTAATAAATAACCATTAATCATTAAGTATTATATTTTCTCGCCCTTATACTATGTTGACATTGTGAGATTAAGAGAACAGAGATTAAGTTATTCTACATTTTTAATCTCCACCGTTTACATTATAAATTGGAGATTAATTTTCACATTTCTCTTGTGTTTTGTTTCGTGTGCTTAATAATAAATTTATTTAATTTTATACTAAAAAATTGTAATAGAAATTGAATAAATAGTTTCATAACAATAATTTAACAAATTTAAGTTATAATTATGTACAAAACTATTATCAAACAAATTTATTAAAAATTTACTCACTTTGGCATTTTCAAATTTTCAAATTTTGTTTTTAATAGACTTTGATATTTCTTTTCCAATTCTTCTAAGATCGTAAAAAATCTACGATATTAAGCCATTTGCAGATTTGCACAGAATAATAATTATCATTTCGAAGAAGATTAAAAATTAATCTCGACCAAAGAAGATTGACTTTTGTATTTGAAAACTGAGATTAAACAACGAGGTTAGTACTTTAATCTCGATTTTCGCTTTAATCTACAATGTAAACGCTGAAAACGATATCTTTAAATATCTATAAGATCACTTATTGGATATTATAATTCAATTTGAACTAATTTAAACTAAATCTCTTAAGACACTTTTGATGTAATCTATGATACGATTTGTTAAAAAAAGACATGAAATCTATCGGATCTTACATTACTTACATTACTATTAGTTGAAATATAACTAATGGTTTTAACATAACATTGTAAACAATGAGCACATTTTGTTTATCTCTTAAAACAAAAGAATGATTAATCAACTTGAATAAATAATTAAGTTAATAAATCCTTCAATTCATTATAAGTTTCGAACTGTAGGCAGAAGTAATACCATATATAAAATTATAAGATAAATCCATCAATGATATAAAATTCTTATTTCTTTTTATTCGCAGATAAATTTACTGTTTTCTTGTAGATAGATTAAGTATTTTTCGTAGATAAATCCAGACCCATATTATATTTAACGAAACCAGCCAATGATACAGTCAGACATTCCAGAATTAAGATTAATATGTGAAAGCCAAAATTTTGATTTATTGTTCTCTAAACAATTCCATAGCGTTACTTCTAAGCTCTGTAACATTAATGTGATATCAAAGATATATTACTCCTGATTATACAAAATCCTAAAATTAAATTTATTGATAAAATAAAATAATATTAAAAAATTATTAAACCTAAAAACTCATAAAATAGCCGACTCAACTACAGTTTTTGCAAATTCCAGAATGCGCAGCTTCAAGTTCAATAGCGTGTATACCAATTAAGCAGTATCCTATTTGAACTTCAATACATACAGTTATAGCTCTACCACCTAATTACTAAACTTTCCATAAAATATCTAATTCAATATTATTTCAAAAGTTGTCCAGAACGTTGTCTCTCTTCAAACGCAATCCACTTCTTTACCCGGCACTTAAAGTTCTCACACTACAGTGCTTTGGAAGCGGAATTCTCTTTGAAATTACTTTGAAGAAGCAATGGTAATTTATCTAAAGAACACCCCATCAACGGCAACGATTGTGTCAAGATCGTATAGTTATTTTATTTATTTTGCTTGTTTATTTAAAGCTATTGAATAAAGATCATTGTAATTGTAAGAGTACGGCACTCAACACTCTCGTTGGAGACGAGTTATTACTCGCAAAGTAACCGATCTACGCTATCCAAACAAAATTACCCAAATATTATTACAATAACTTTTATGAAGACAGCCCCAACAAGAGAGGAAATGAATACCTAACAATGGTTCTAAGAACGGCTGGATCTACGTCCCGGAGCCACTCGTCGCCAGCTACTACCAAGTGCCGTCCGACACTTCCCAAAAAGACTTCACAGGCAGATTCCAGCGAGCTACAACAACAACACAATAATAAACAATTTTTATTTAAAAGCCATATCTTTAGTCTAATGAATAAAAAGTCAAAAATATTATATATTTATAGTTCTTTATATTTATTTTCAATCATTTTTTTATTTCAATATATTTTGCATTGAATTTGGATGGGTTGTTCAAACGGACGTTTAATTATTGAATTAGGTTAATATGTTAACAAATTATATACATAAAAAATATATCAAAGAAGTTTATAGTTTAGTGAACATGAACATTTAGTCTTAATAAAATCATTAATATGATTTAACAAATATATAATTCAACTTAGGAATTCTTTGATCTTTTAACAAAAATAATTTATAACAACAAAATATTTAATAACAAAATTTGTTTAAAAATGTGTCTTAGTAAAATTATTTTTTTTTTTTATAAAAAAGGAATATATTATGCTAAACTTAACTTTAATGTTAAATTATTACAAATGCTTACTATTAATATATTTGCAGTTATTTATTTGTTTATAATTCTGTTTTTTAAAAATCTTCTGTTTCTCTTATAAGCTCAAAAAATTATTATTTAACGTTACATATAAACAATATGTAATTTCATAAAAAAATAATGCACTGAATATCTACGACATTAGCAATAAAAAATTATATATGTATAATTGCATGCATTTTTTTTTGTTTAAGATATTTAAATCTTAAGAATTGCACATGTCCCTAAAGAGCTTCTATAATTTTAATTTTAATTTTAATTTTGTAGTATTTTTTCTTCAATTTTAAACATTTTGTTTGAAAAAATTTAGTTTCCTGCGTTATCCGTACGCAACATTTGTGCTTAGTTTGATTTTCTCGATCTGCGTCTGGTATTACCAGGACAGCCAGCATTACTAAGTAAATGTAGCTTCCAGCCACCGTCCAGTGGTAAATGAACATCATCATGACACAGTGGACATCTTGCTGCACCAGTTTTAAGCTCTGGAAAACACAACAACAATATTAGTGAAATAAATTATAATCAAATGATCAACATTTATTTGTGAGTAATAAATCAATAATAAAATATAAATTAGAGTGAATTTCATTCTTAGGCCATGTGCGAGTTCGAGTAAATTAAAATTTCATAGAGATAATTTCTACTGCACTTATGTAAATATTTATTTATTTATTTATTGCACTTATTTATTATTTTTGGTTAAAAGTTTTATTTATTTATTAAATATCTTATAAAATTTTCACAATAATAACATCTAATTTACCTAATTTTTATTTAATTTACCCTACTCGAAATTCTGGTAAATACCAACATTCGCTACCATATCGACATAATTTACTATTTCCCTCAATTAACCATCGAACTCGCACACGGCCTTAAAGCTTATATTTTACGATACTCTATACATACAAATTATTACAGACTATAACTTTAAGAATAACAATAATTTTATAAATATTCTGTATAAAAAATATTCGAAATTCACAATTTGAAAAAACTGTAAAAAGTCAAAAAACTTCGAAACGTCAGTAAGACTAAATAAAAAGTATTAAATATTATAGCTTAACGTTTTAATTTTTAATATTTTGTTCACTGAAGCTTATTTCATTTCATTTATTATATTTACAACGTGTATAAAAAGTATTCGGACCCTATAATATGAAAAACACATTTAAAAAATACCGCATCAAGCGAGATTTAAACGCGATTTGTTACCCTATGTGTCTACATCAAGTCTCATCAAGGTGCGGGGTTGCAACCAATGTTGACTCTAAAATTTAAATTACGATCCCCATTTTGAAATGTATATATACCTTATAGGGAATGCTTTCTCAAAAGCGTCACCCAAGTTTCATCAATAAATATTTAATGTTGCTTGATACTTATTGTTATAATTTTGGAGTGGTAGCATTCATAGCATAATATATACAAAGATATTCTTAATACCACATATACAAAACAAGAGAGGAGAGATAAATATATAACAATTATTAGTGACGGTAGATCTGGTGCTAGAGTAGGACCTCCAAAGCGATATAAATCTGTTCGAAATTTCAATTTTTCAAATGTACGAACTTTGACACAATCACTACCGATTTAGATCAAATGCTTTTATGAGCTCATTTTTTATTTTAAAAATACTCGTATTTTGGGAAAGGAAATAATTTCAAAATTTTTTAACAAATATGAACCAATGGGGTTTTGAGAATTTACATTTTAGTACAATTTTAAAATGGCTATACCTCAAATCTAGTCTAAAAATTTTTTGCTTTGTAAAAATAATTGATTGAATGTTTTAGAAACGAATAAAACAATTCGTGAACTATATTGAAATATATAGTATATTTGAAAAGTTCTTTTTTTTTATACTAATAAGAATCGCCACAGAAAAGACTTTATAATCAACATTATCATATCATTTTGCAAATATTCTAGGCTACTACAATTGTAGTAGCCTCATTAATCGATTATGGGGTTCATATACAAAAGGTTACTCATCACACAAACCTTTCGCTCATAGATTTTTCAATAATATCTGCATCGGCTTTTTACAATGGGTTATAACACCTGTGTCAAACGTAAAGTCCTTTAAAACTATATCAATATCGTAAAACTCAGTCTTTTATTGCAAAAAGAAAAAAATGTGTTATTCTCCGAAATCAAATAGAATTCGTGACTCAAATTAAACAGAAACTTAGATTTGTAGAGATCGACTTAAGGAAACTTGTAATTCTAAAAATAAAGATTGCTGATAATTTATATGGATTTTAGAAAGGTAATATTTCTACTTGTAGAGACTAATGCTATTAAGATGATGGCAACGAAAACTTATACCCAATTTAGGAAGATTCAAATTATAGAAGTTTCAAATATGGAAGTTTTACTGTACATGTTTCAATATCTATGATAAAAATTTCTTGAAATAACTTAACAAATTAAAGAAAAATTTAGTGTAGATTTGTGTTTTAAATGATAGTTGAATACCTTAATTTGTGATATATATATAATGTTATATCAAAAATAAATAATGCTTTGCCGATGAAACAAAAAATTTTTATGACCGGAGAATCTATCCAAAAGGCTTTTTATTTCAAAATGTTAACGACTCATATTCGTGAAATTGGGCTCACATACCTAGATTCCATTAAATATCGCTATATTTATTCGTCTTATCATAATAATCTAGAATACATATGATTTTTCCGATGTATCTTCTATCACAGCATAAACATCGTGATATACCTAACAATTATTTTCCTTTGATCAATTAAATAACAAAATCAAATCAAGAACGTATATAATGTCCAGACCTCCAGTCACTAATTGAAATTAACAAATTGGGCCTTAAATAGTTAAAGAGCAAGTCATTATTTTTAGAACTATGATAACTATGAAAACTATGAAAAAAAAAAAATTATTAAGTAAATCGCGGCACACTCATAGATTATAGATCAGAAAAGAAGATGTTAAAAGAAATAATTGATTATACTATGTTACTTTGTGGTAGTCTAAACATTTTAAAAAAATCAGTCAGGTTGGAGTGGAGGTCTTGTGCCCTAGAGAGGCTCACTCGAGCTTAAATAATGGTCTGTGTGATACCATGGATTAGCGTTGTTGATACGCACAACAGAAAAAATCTCAAAAGGACCGCAGTGGTTAGTATACGAATAATGTGCTAAAAGGCACGATTTCCCGTAAGAGCGGGGATACGTGCTCCCGCTCAAAACAGAAATACAATACAAAACTATAAAACTAACTCTGTAAAGAAAAATATGGATATATCTTCAATGTATAATATATCTTCAACGTGTAATAATAATAATAATAATAAATCGTAATTTTCGTGCCTAAGTGTTACCCTGTCGTTTGAGGGATTCTAAGATGCATTAAATCATATCGAGCAACGAGCGTTTTGTTTACCGCTAATGTAGACTGGGGCTAAATATATAAGATCTCTAAAAGGTTTAATTAATTCGTTATACCTCGGCAGTAGTCTTCCATTTGATGTAAGTCATAAAGCTGTTTGTGTACTGATTCCGTACAACGTTCACACATGACATAACTATCCTTTGCTTCGCACTCCTCTTTGAAATATAAATTGAAATAAAAAAATTTATTAAAAATATTGACGAAAGATATATGTTTAATAAATTTACTTGTTAAATGATAGTTCAAAGCAGCAACTTCAAGCACTTGACTGCACTGAGGACATTTTGTGAGGAACGGACAAGTTTTCCAATAATGTCTATCTAACTGCGATTGATCATTACTGTGACAAGTCCAATCACAGAACGGACAGCGTCTGAAAAACACAAAAAATTAATTATTTAAGATTAATACTTCAATACGTTAGTGTAAAAGTGAACTGTAACTTAAAAAAAAGGACATAAAAGATAAATGACCTTTTCAAGACTTTTGCGACTACAGTGAAAGTTTTGTGGAAAGGACGTTCTCGTGACCGGACATCTATCTTAACCACGCGATCTTCCCAGTTCCCAATTTTAATTTTTCATACAAAGTGCATTGTTTTGAACGATCAGTTCTTTTAACCGCACTGTATAGCTGCTTAAAAGAGCTTTTACTGTACATTAAATATGTGATCGCACTAACAGTTGTAACTTACGGTTGTGTAAATAAGATTTTTAAGTATAATTAGCACAAGTCCATTTTCAATTTTAAATATATACGTACTATAATATAAGAAACCGACTTCGCTCTGATATACTTACATTAAGTCAAGAGCCTCCTCCAATGACTCAGAGTTTGAATTAGAATTTGAGTTTTTTCTTGAACTGTTTGTTGATATCATCGATCTTTTAAGTTGTTCGTTGTATTGCTGTTTGCCATTGCATGTATTTATGTTGCTGCTGCCACTGGGATAACCGTTACTGGAGCCAACTGCACCAGCACTACCAATTGAATGTCCACTTTTACTTTTAAGTATACGTGTTTCAGATCTTCGCATTGGACTCGATTGTGAATCAGGTGACTTATTTCTGAAGCCGTAAGGGCTACCACGACTGTCACAGCCACCACAGTCGCCAACATTAGCACCACTACCTAATTGTAGTTGTTCGGCTGCTGTGCGCGCTTCATTACTACGATTCGAAGGTGGAGATGTTGGATCACTGGAACTGTGTCCAGAGTATTTATTTGCCTCTAACATTTCTTTCTTACGTTCTAAATCTAATTTATCAAATTCAGTAAACAATTGACGATACAGTAAATTGCGTCTCGTTATATCATCATCCGGCGGTAACTGTTTACGTACAAGTCGTGGATTCACTTTGTAAACTAACAAAAGAATCCTTTCGGCTACTTTACGCACCGGCTCCGCTGGATGATGAATACCTGAACAACCACATTCAGATAGCGCACGACATGTCAAACCACTATGTTTATCTGTACTGATGCCTTGACTCAACACTAACTGTTCCAACATTTGCATACGACTTAAGGCCAGACGTGGATGTGTACCGGAACCGACCGTACGCGATAGCGCTGGTGCGACTAAATGTTGCTCAGCAACCTCCGGACAGGCAGCTATACTCAAAATTGTGTGTTGTGCCAGTGTGTGTATACGTGCCGATGGATCGCCTGATTTCGCTAATAGTTCGGGTAATAAACGATCCACACAGCGCGCAACTTCACTCTGAGAAACGCGTCCAGGCACATACTCTAGGAATAGCATACGCACAGTTTCTGTGGCTTGACTAAATACTGAATAAACAGCATCACGTACGGAACGATGTAATAGTAAGGCAGAGCTGCGGGCAACTTTATTTGCACCCGCCACATTATCACCATTCGCATTTGTCGCAGTCTCCGTTTCATGTCCTTTCAAAAAGTTACGCAAACGTATAAGACCGTCTTCACGATCTTGAAATTGACGAGAATAAAATTGTTCAACCTAAAAATATTGTAACATTAGTTTAAAAACATTAACATTATACCTTGAGTATGATGATAAAAAAAAAACTTGATGAATTTATGAACTAAAATTAAATCATATACCATATATTTATTGACATAAGGTTGTAGTAAGTTCTAATTCGTAACTATTACGAATAATTACCGAATTACCGAAACAGTTATTGTAGACTAGCCGCTACAAGCTAAACTTACCAGTTCGTTTCCAAACACCAGTATAGGTAAAGCAGCCTGTCGACGTTCACGATCACTCAAATGCGAACGCCCTCTACGATTGGGATCGGCCTCCAGCAAGGCTGTACCTTGGCATTCCCTTAAAAATTCATTAGTATGTGAACTGCATTATGTTATGGCAACAAATTGTAGGCAACAAGCAACGATTAAAGACCAAAAGAATATATAAAATACAAAAATAAGAGAAAACTTAAATCAACAACTCAAAAATACATTGATATGAAAGTGTGTGAAAGCTACAATATGATAATATATATACCAGTATATACGTATATAAATGATAAAATGATACATATGTATGTATGTATGTATTTGCTAAATGGCAGTACTATTGTAAACCGCTGAAGTAGTACGAAAATTTCACACATAAATTGTCATGCAACATTGAATATAACTCCAAATACATTTTTTATACTATTTAGTTACCCAACTAAATGTTGGCAATTTACTACTTCCGCTAGTAACCACGACATCTAAAACAGCAGATAAAACTTACTGTCTAAGAGTAGGTATAGCGCGTTCCTCATAGTCTTCATAAGAATTTCGTGGAGCACTTTTATTTCTACGCCTTAATGAGCCTTGATGACTTGATATCGGCGAGCTATGTCGACTTGGACTACGTCGTGTATTCAGTTTAGGCGACATTGGTATCTCATCATGTGATTTTCGTAAACTCGCGGTAGAGTGAGCTACCAAATTATCGTTGGCAATGCTATTATTAGTGCTCAATGAAGTATTACCAGCCACAACACCAACGGAACTACCACCATCTGTTGATGACTTATCATCTTGTGCGCTTTTAGGACTCATTGTGGCAGCGAAATGTGCCTCCGCTAATGCCTGTGCTACATCTTGTAAGCTTGGTGCTGGTGGTAATACAGGTTTCGAAGAATAAATTTCAGAGGCCATGTCATTCGTTGCAATCGGTTCGTTATTAGGCTCGAGTAGATCATGTACAAGTAAATATTTCAAAACAGCAGACTTATACATTTCTATTTGCTCCTTACGTAGCTTGGCTGTAGTAAAGTCTTCCTGCTGTACGGCTTGCCGCTTTGCTAATGAATAGCGACCCAGTCTTTCGCCGGCGGTCCGCAATGATGTCATACAAAGTTTTAGTTTACGTGCATATTCAAAACGCTCATCGTTAACAGCTTTCGATTTCTTCTCTTCCATTTCACGTATTATATCGCTAACAGACTCTTCAACATACATAGAAAATAGAAGATCATCACATATAGATACCAATGTAGGTTCGGCACCGCCTTCAGTTATCAATTGGTCTGTAGTTGTTGTGGTACAATTAGTTTCATTTTGTTCTTCATTTTGCAATTCATTTGAAGAATTTTTCTCCAATTCTTCTCCCAGCACATTCACAGCTATTAAGGCAATTTGTCCATTGGTATTAAAAGTATTACAATGGGCCGTACTTAAACGTAGTTTTAAATGTGTACCTCTACGTGGATTTACGGTAACACTTTGAAGTTCTCGCGATTTGTAGTTCGTTGCTGAATTATCTGACAGCGCAACAAACCCTAAAAAATCAAAACACTGAGAAGATGGTGTACTCGGTATGCCTTTCGGTGAGTAATGCAACCATAATTCAACTTTTTCAGCTAAAATAATATGAAATACATTAATTCATTATATATTCTACATATGTATGTATGTGTATATATTATAGTATAAACTTACGAATTAAATACTGATGTGCTAATATTTGTATGCGACATATTTTTGTTGGTCTATGGAACCGCAATATTATATCGTGTGGGTTAATTGTACTGTTGGATGCACTGCGCCAACCATGCACAGTCGGTCCATGTGAATTGAGTTCACTGGCGGGAAATGATGGATCTTCATCTATAAAATATAATAAATGTTTATTTTATTACTGTTATATATCTTATATTAAAATTGTAATATAAGACGTTGTAGATCCGGCAAAGCATCGGGAATTAAACTTAAAAATATTGATCTACATTAATATAAGGAAGTCAAAAAAGGATATAGAAATTCTAAAAGCATCGACGTTTATATGGCATTGAGTCCCGTAAAGAACACAGAACACGTAATGCAAGTAAATGGTTTACTGACATTTAGTGGTGCAACGAAGAAGTAATACTGCATCCATATTGGCTAGACTTTTACCACACACTTCCTCTTATTCACTAACACATGGAATTTTTGTTTTTTTTGGAGGTAAAATTCGAAAATAATACTTATTTGGGGTTTAACACAAAAATCTCGTCAAAGTCTAGGCAGTCTACACTCCAATTAATCCATTTTTAACTAGGAACGTATACTTTCCATTGTTCATTACATATTATTATTTGTTCTGCTACTAAATTGTCTAATGATGGATGAGATTAATATAGGGTTTATAAAAACAACTACATAATTGTAAATATTAAAATGTATGATATATAAAATCGTATATTTTACATTGATCAACATTAAGAAATGAAAATTGTTATTGGTCAACATGGCCTAACTTTCAGTTGTATTTGTTGTTGTAACCCACTGGAACATGTAAGCAGACGACATGACAGGATATATAAGACGGTTATATGGGTAGAAATGAAAATAGGTAGTAGTTACGTGATGATGGAGGAAGGAATGAAGGTGGGTGAGATTTTATGGAAACTGGGTTCCAAAAACAGCCTGGTCTACGTCCCGGGGCCACTCGTCGACAGCGACGACCAAGTGACGTTCAACGCTCCCCATAGGGACTTTACAAGCTAACTTTCATACAAACTTTAACTATTAGAAGATCCTTAATGGAACAGAAAGCAATCAAACGCTTTATAACTTGCGTAGATAGTGGCAAAGACTAGAAGCAACCGCATTAGCATCCACAATTCGGCAAACTTCAAACAGCTTTACTTTTGCGGCTGCCTTAACATGCAAAGAACATTCAGTTGGTGTGGTTACTTTCCTCGTGGGAAATTATCGTTTGGAAAATATGAAAGCGGCTAGGAAACATTTAAAAAGATCCAAAAAATGTTATATATTCAATATAAATACATACAGCTGTTATATCTTATTACTGTTATATGTTATTTCTTTAGAATATAGTTTAAGTCATCAATTACTTGATTTGTATTAATTATCCATGGTGCATTTATTTACTATCGCTTAATGTATATCATTCTAAATATAAACGCATGAGTTCATCAAAAAATTATTTAAATATTTCGATTTACTCACATTAATTCCAATTTTACACGTCATTTACTTTTTTATGAAATTTGCATAATTTATTGTGAAATATAAACAAAACATTACAAAATCAAAATAAAAAGTTTGCCGGCAAAACGTCAACACTTGCTAACGAAAACAACAAAAACAATGATTTTATTAGCACAAGACGTGGTGAATAGCAATAAGTGAACGAAATTCTACAAACACCCAACGGAAAAATGAGGAATTATAACATTTGAAATCACATACTATCAAGTAAATATTCAAGTTACATACAATGTACAAAAACGCTTAACGTAAAAAAAAGTAATAATATTTATATTCAAAACAAAAAAAACAATTAATTTTATTATTTTATTTCATTTATTCAATTATTTATTTCAAATACTTTTTCATTTTATTTTATTTTCTTTAAATTTTATAAAAATATGTATAACTACATAATTGTACTGTTTTGAATTTGATTTTAAATTAATTTTGTACAAATTACAATTCAATTCAGAGTACAGAGTACGGGACAAAACTTCAATAAAAATTATAATTAGTTGTGTGGTGTGCATAAGCTATAACGTACAATATGAATTAATGTACACTAGATGTACACGAGAGTTTTGTTTGTAAATTTAATTGTCAATAATTTTTCAAACTCTCGTTTGAATCCAGTATTAGGTATGTTTTACGAGCTACTCGTAGTAAAATTCAAGTAAAACACATGTAAAATTCAAACTGAGAGCGTAACACAAATAAAGTGTCAAATTACGCTCTTTACACAGATTTTCATGAAACAACTTTGTGTAAAATCTGGTGAGAACATCACTGCCGCACATATAAACAATATAAAAAATTTAAATTCAAACCAAAACAGCTGATTTACACATCACATAAATTTTACTTGAAATGAAATGTTCGAGTAAAGTCTGTGTAGCATTTTCAAATTTCGACAGCAATGTCACGCGCTCTCAGATGCTCTCATTTACTCGACAATTTACTGGTGGAACGTATACACAGTGTTACTCAAAGTTACTAGGAGTAGCCAGTGGAACAGACCTATTGTGTTATTTTTGCTCGCACATTGGAAGTAATGTGCAATACTGAATTAAAATAATGTTAAATTCCCATATGACGGCAATTTCTTGCAGGGTTACTTATTTTAATTACCACTTCTTTCTTTTATTTTCCTATTTCTTTCTGTCTACATTTGTTTTTATTTGATTTTCGTTGGCATTTGTTATCATAATTAGTATATTTCGTGCGTTGGGCGGTTGTGTTGTGCTCTTAGCGCTTTTTCATTTTCTAATATATATTTTATTGAATAAATTTTATAAACATTTTGAAGTAAGAAATAAACATGACACGGAGTAGCTCAAATAATACTTGGATTAAGATACAAAGCCTATTAAATACCATAAATCATATTTTTATTGGTTTGGTTGGTATTTACATTACAGTTCTAGGAAAAAATTTGGATTTTAAGGACACGGCTATGCATGCCTTTATGACCACAATCGGAGTAAGTACATCTAACGAAATAAAATGAATTATTAAAGTAAATACTAACTTTTACATTTGAAAAATATGTTACACACATAATCGTACTGTCTTGCGTTTATATTGACGAAGTCGAAAGGTCAAAACTATGAAACTATTTTTTGATTGTTAATCTCCCCAGAGGCAGTAAAGTACTATGTCATCGCTACTCAGCAAAAATATTTTGTCGCTAGAAAAAAAAACATTATTGCTCATATCAAATATGTTTATGATAAAAACCCAAATCGAACCTGAATTTTTATAGTGTGTAAACATAAATATTAATATTTTTCTACAATAAATGATACCGAGAATATACAAAATCACATATAAACATTTTATAAGGGTCTGCTCTTTCAATTGGTATAGTTTTCAGTTAGAATAATAACCTTCGCATCTATGGATATTAGCCCAGAACGTTAAACCATTATGATCTGTATAATCTAAATCTAAAATCTAAATTATTTCTCCTTCACCAGTTAAACTCCCTTATATCAATGAATATTTTTATACACGGGCTAACATGATTAAATGTACTCTAAAAAGAAGGCTCCAAGTCTCCATGTTCTGTATAAGTTCAAGAATATAGATCGATTTAGCTATATTCGTATTTTGTATATTTTTTGAGACAATCGCAAGAAATTTGCTATATACAAGCAATATGACCAAAGACAGTCTGATATGACCAAAAATTATCAAAAAAATTTTAATTTTTCAAAAAATATTGGTTTCATCTTCAATATATATTTAATCACCTAGAAAGTCATTCCCATTCAATATTATAGACACTATAGTTTCTAGCTTAAGCAACACTGTTGAAACTCATTTTTAGTTATGATCTGGAAATCAATCAATAATTTCGCCTACTTCATCTATTGTTGAAAAACGTTTTCAGAAAATATTTCTGAACCTATCTCTAGATAATAGGGTTGTTCAGGCACAATAATGATATTAATTTTTGCCACGAATTGTTAGTTATTCAACAAATTTTCAGAACATATTTTGCTGCCAGTCGTTTCATGTCTAAAATATTTGCAAAAATCGCTCGCATTATCCGTCTGATAATTCTATTTTTTCTCTAACGTCTTCAGTATAATTTCTTCTTATTTATCTACATTGGTCATCTTTAATGTTTTCTCAACATTTCTAAAAGTGTTTGCACCACTCATTAACTCATATTGTCTTATGATATATAGTCTTATGATATAGGTGCCATAAAACCAGCGGCGTAGCACAAGGGGCTACAATAATTACAATTTTACCTGTGCTTACTGTAGTTTTTATTGCATGGAACTCATATCCGGTCGATGTACTAAAAATTAATGGTATAATTCAAAAATTCAAAATTCCAAAAAAAATTTTAGCTAACATTACTTAGTATTTACATATCATATCAATATATTTTTAACACTTAAACATTAAAAAGTTTTTAACATTCATAATGACTTGTTTAATCGAACCTTTTATATTAACAATAAACATATATCAATATTTAATATTGTTAATAAAAAATTGTTGAATCTTTTTTTTGCAGTATCATGTTCTTATGGCAGAAGCTCTTATGTCGCACTACAAAGTGAATCCCATTACTAATCGTTTTTCGCATCGCAACAAATCTAGAATACATGGTATATTACAGTTTCTAGGTGGATCAATGGCACTATTGGGTGCACTCGGTAAAATCTCTGCTACTGAAAATGACCATTTCAGTACGCTACATGGTAAAGTGGGTATGTAACAATACAAGATTCAGTATTTAAATCCTTAGCTAAACTCCTTCATACTTTCGTTCAGGTCTCGCAGCAACGTTTATGTGTACTGTTAGCATATTAGGCGGATTGGTCAACTTCTTTCAACCGAAGTTCGCCCATAAAATATATTCTCCGGCCGAAATAAAATATCGCCATAATTTGTTCGGCATGTTAACATTCTCCTTAGGAATGGCAGCAGTTCTTCTTGGTTACCGCACGTTATTCTTCTGGAAGTACAACGATGCTGAGTTTGTACGTGTTATAAGTTTAGCTTCCGTTTTAGTTTATTGTCTAACATTAATTGCACCAGTCTTATCCTTATTAGATAAGATAAAACTAAGAAAGGCACATAAACAAGATATTTAATAATATTTAACTTAAAATGGATAATTGCCATACCTACTAGTCTGCAGTGGTTTAATTGAACCACATTTGCTTTTAAAATTTATCATTCCACGTATACAAAGTACTTGGTGGTTAAATCTTGAATTCTATTCATAGTTAAGGATTTTTGGGAAGTTGTAATCTTGTTAACATATTTGTGCATACATATTTTTACTGTATTTGTTAAACTGTTTTTTAATATTTAAATATAAATAAAAAAAATACGGGACATGTCGTATATTTCCTATGCAGTTTTTCACACCCTAAATTGATTTGATAAAATACAGAAATGAACTTTTTAACTGCATTTCTAGACGTTGTCATGGCAAGCAACTGCTCTCATTGATTAAAAAAAAAGATGCAACCAACTAATGTTGTTTACATGTTTGGCTCGCTTCCAACAGAGTTGAGTGGTTGCACAACGGATCCCAATATGTTTTCACATCCCTTAAAGGCAAATCTTATATTTTTCGGAGGTTGAGTAGGAAGGACATAAGTATCAGCAATAAATTTTTTCTTTATTTTTCAACTTAATATTTCAATTATGCTTTTTTACATCGATATTTAGCCAATATCGGTCACAATTATCTGTGACTGAATTTTTAATAGTTTTTATTACTTTACTAAAAAGAGAGATTTCGAAAAGTAGTGAACTGTAACAACAAAAATTCTTTATGTTATTTTAATCAATTATATTTTTGGCTCACCACACAGCTGTTTCGAGTATTGCCAAATACCCATCATCAGTGGTCTCGGAAATAATTCTTGTATTGAATTATTCGTAAATAATTTTTTGAGACTGCAATTACCAGAGATTGAACCCGTGCCCTGCCAAATTTGAAGCTCAGAGTCAGCATTCATTAACCAACTTATCCAAAATCGTACGTGACGTTTATGTTCGCACATGTTTCTGTAGTTTTCACTTGTGTTATGTTAGAATGAGATCATAAACCAACTAGAATAATTGAATTAACTAATTATACCTATTTTTAATTGTTAAATTTCAATACTATTCCGTTTATAGAGGCAATATATGTTGCATGTTTTTATATTATTCGCTCTTATATACATAACCAAATCTAGGACCGTACTACGGAGAAAGTCATGCTTATGTTACTCCACGATTCACGCGGGCGAGACCATATATTTTTAATATAAGTTGTAAAAGGTAAATAAAAGAGTAACAATTTCGCTTTAGCAAGTTCTTATGCATTCCTCCAAATACAGGAAACAAATGATGGCTGGTTGCCTTTCTGTTCTATCCAAATGGCGCGTATCGCCATTTTGTTACCCCACATTTGAAGTTAAGAAGCTGCAAATAGTTTTTTTATTTGTAGCTAAATAACGCGGTTGATGCATAAGATATTTGTCAAACTTATATTTGTGATTATATGGTGTTACAACGATTTTGCCTACTTACTTACATGTGGGTTTTCCCCTAGCTTAGTCAGGAAATAGGTACCATAGTACAGTTAAGTTAGATCGGCGTAGCAACCTAATGATCCAACAAATAATATATCGTTATAATGCATATAATGGATGAGACATCATCATACGAAAGATCTACCTTGAAAAAATAAGTACCAAAAAAACTAAAGCACGAACAGTATCCCTTTGAGAAAGTGCGACTCTCCATTGTAACAAGTTTATAAACTTGTTACAAGGGAATCAATGTAACAAGTTTATAGACCTTTTCAAAATTTGAAAGGATGAGAGATCTATCCGTCCAGTTAGAAAAGCGACATAAAAAATCTTATATTTTCTCCTAAACAGTGATAAGCACTGACACGTAAGGTAAAGTAGAGTTTCTTCGACATCCTCAGAGCTATAACCATGACAAAAGAGTAAACCTACTTTTTTGCATATCTGCTTTATATACAGTAACCTGTTAGGATCGCAAGCGTAGAACAGAATTGATTCGTCTTTAGTTGTTGTTGGTGTACTAGCCCGTGAAAATCTATATAGCAGAAAACAAATACGAATAGATGAGTTGAGAGGATAAATAATGTGTATAAGACAAGGGGACGTTTTGGAAAGAAAAGCGAATTAAAAATGGGTGGGGCTTTGTTCGGGTTTAGTTAAGGTAGCTGATTTGGTACAAATTTTTCACAGTTTAAACCAGATGAAACTTTTGGCCAGACACGAATTTTAGTCTATTCAGGCTTTCCTTGGCAACAGTATGTGTTTTCAGTTAATTGCAAGTTCAGTTGTTGCGAAAGGAATACCAATCTGTGAAAAGTGAATTTCGCAGAGCAACGTGCCTGCTTTGGAAAACTTCATCTGCTTTACATTTACACAAGATGTCTCTATGTCCTCCTGGTATCTATTTGAATCCGATGCTGGCAAGTCTCTACAACTCGTTGAGAGAAGGCCAGAGAATTACAAGGTCTTCTGAAGGCCTTAAATTATGCACTGGAATAATCAGACAGTCGAAGCGAGATGTTAAGACTCAATTTATTAGAATAGTTTCCACTGTCGATGCTTACATTTATTTTCGAGTCGTCCCACTGTTGACAGGGACTAACAGTTTTTATACTGGAATTACTTAATTTTTCTAGAACTCAGTATTTACTTACGAAGTGTTCGGTAGTCTCTTTATATCATAATTCTCAACAGCTTCTGCAGTTTTAGTTAAAGGAGTTGTATCATTTTTCGGTATTGGTGTCTAGTGACTAGTAACCTATCATGACCGCATCGAGTTTTCCGAGTTCAACATGGTCATTTTATGACCATGTTACCATGGTGACATGAAATTTGATTTAAAGAAATGTTTCAAATATACTTTTAATAAGAAAAAGGCTCATTTGCTTTAGTTTTAGAAATATAACTTAACGATAATAATCTATAATCACTGGATTTGTATTTAGGGTAGAATCTATAAAAGATTCTGTCTAAGTATAATAAATGGGACCTATCAAAGTCGAACAAAATTAGTTCTTGAAGAAAAGGATTCCAGGTAGGAGAAGGAATTAAACTAAATAAGAACACCTTATAGTACATTTCAGAATGAATATATATATGGAGTCAAAGAGGAACAGTATTTTTGAAGAAAATGAGCTTCTCAATGTTTAATAGAAATACGAAAAGAGTATGAGGCAGTGAGAGGATACAGAAACTTTTAGACAATAGCAATTAATAATTAATTAATGAATATTAATTAATGAAGTTTGGAGCTCAAAACATAATGGATAATGAAAGCATGCTGTGATGTAATTTACTTATATGGGAGTAACTATATAATGCATAAACATTATAGTATATAATACAGCAAAAAAAATAAAAATATCGAAAATTCTTAAAAATGTCCAATACTGCTAGAACACAAAAATGACTTCTAAAGCCAGAAATTACTTTACTGGTTTTTTGATAATTTCAGTAATTTTTAGAAAAGTCTTTTATTAAAAGCATTAATAATGAAAATACATACGTATAAATATAGTTATTCAATCATTTCGGAAGTACTTCAACCCCTCAAAACTTCTGACTACATGTCTATACACAGAATTCTTTTTTTTTTTAAGTAATATTAGAATTAAAGGAATTTAGTAGTAAAATTTCCTAAGAATTCTCTATTTTGTAAAAAGAAAACTTTGAAAGAATTTAGTTCGAACCATCACTCTGGCATGTACTCCATAGGATTATATTCGTATACCTTTGTTTAGTTTGCTATTTATTTAATATATTATTATTGTTAAATTTTAATAAATAATATTTTTATATAAAGTTAGGGGATAATAGTAAAAAAAAAATCAAATTAATAATTTACTTTAGTTATGATTCTTTTTTATTTAAATTTCTTGACTGTTGTCCCCTTGTTTGATAGAAATAGACTCTTTGCCATGGACATAAAAATTTTAATTTAATGATTTGCTTAAGTTCTGTATTCACTCAGTACATAAAAATCGAAATTAAATCTTAACATTGTACTCGATAGTCACAGAGTCTACAAGCAATTACCTCAGCGATAGCAACTCAAATGTTGCGCACACACATCCGGAACTATTATTCCAAGTAGCTTCATGGTCCAATTCCCAAAAGGGACATTACTGAAATTACATTACATTACTGCAAAGGACTGTGGAACTGTAAAGCAGTTCTTTTTAAATATTTTAAGGTGAAACGTAAATATTTGTATCCGTAATTTAAAGTCAAAACTTTTTGTTTGTTATATTCTATGAAGATAATATATCACATTTCTGGCATAAAAATTTTTGTACGGACAGACGGTTTACAAAATAAAATGCTTCAGATCAAATATGTGCCAAACCACGCAAAGTCATTTTACCGCATTTATAGTGCATATAAATCCGCTGTTTTTATGACTCCACTGACGTGCTAACTGTCCTTCAATTTTTTTCCATACTCTCTGGTATGCTGTAGCGATTGGCAAGAAGACATGTATTTTTCACCGTTTTTTATAGGATAAACCACAACAAATTAAAATTTCTTGACTCGTTTCAGAAAGATTTTTTTTCAATATTAAGACATACCAAATTTAATTACATATCTAAGGTTAGGTTAATCTGGCTGGCTATAAATTATCTAGCAAAACCAGACAAAATTAAACTCCTATGCAGATTTTGTGTAAGACACATTTTGTCAAATTAAGCAGTACTTTAAGCTCTACTGGAAGTATCCTCTTTGTGGTCCTCCTAGGTTTCAAAGCAAAAAAAAAGCATTTGACAGTTTAACCAACCATACATTTGGGCAGCACTCTCCAAAAACGGAATGCCAGAAAAAATTATATACTTCTTGAAGGAGCTGTACATACTAATACTAAGTGTCACGTGATCCACAAAAACCAGCTTTCTGAATCTTTTGACATCAAAACAGGTGTGTAACAAGAGTGTATACTGTCACCATTGCTTTTCATTCTCGCACTAGATATCCTTAGCAGAGCATTTAAAAATACCGAGGATATCCAATGAGACTGTTTGAGTGTCTACAAGACCTAGATGAATTAAAGCAGTTGATATCCGCCATACGCAAACAAACAGAGTCTGTCAGTTTGGTAAATTTAACGATAGCTGCGTTTGGTAAATTTACCAACATATGTTGATCCAGTGAACTCAGGGGGCTGACCAAACTGCGAATCTTTAACACAAATGTGAAATCTATCTTGTACTAGAGAAAGATGCAAATGTTTGTCAACAAGTGTCCACGTAGAATTCTCAAAATATGGTGGTCAGATCAAATACCAAACGAACGCATTCTGAACCAAACAACTCAAAAAGCATCATAAAATGATACAAAAATGAGAAAGTGGAAGTGGATAGGCCTTACGCTTAGACAATCGAGAGATCACATATCGAGACAAGCGTTGGCATAGAATCCACAAGGAAGCAAAAGACCTGGTGCGCCAGCGAAAACGTGGAACAAAATGGTCGAAAGTGAACTAGCTGAAGCACGATATACATAGAACGATGTCTACAGAGAAGTACCAAATAGAGTCAGGTTTAGAAGAATTATTGAGGCCCTGAGCCGCACTGACGGAAGTGGACAATAGTAGTAGTCAATTAATAGTAGTAGTCATAAGAATAGGAAACTAAAGCGGAAATATAAAATTAAAAAAAACTATATACATATCCATATGGATTTGTAGTAAAGGCAATATTCTATCTCCTCAAACAAACCCATTTTATTGACAACCCTCTTCAGTACAATATTTGATCATTTTTAAAGTTATTTGATTTGTGTGAGAAATTGAAAAAAAAACATTAATAAAGGTCTTACGTCTTACACAACTGAAATATGAAGTTGATGTTTGGTTTCAATAAGACGATATATACCGTTTACCACCGCAACAATTCATGTATAGTGTTTGAAAGAGTTTGGTGAAAACGCCTTTAAAAATTATTTTATGGATTCTTTTTTAGTAGAAATATATAAAATTGTTAATCTATATGTTTCTCAATCACCATAAAAAATATTTAAATGAAATTAATCTATTTCTATATTACAAATTGTATACCATATCATTTAAATTTGTTCGTTAAAAAAAAGATAATTCCTTGACTTAGAATAAGAACATTTGCCGATTGGGAACTATAGGGGTTTGGAGTTTTAACCAAGCTTCTTTTATCTTTTCCACCTAATAACTTTAATGAGATCTGAGTGAGATAATTTTTAATTCTGATAGCTGGGGTTCTCTCAACTCCTTAGAGGTGGTTCTTATCTATTTTAATCCATCTCTCATCATTTCTACGATATGGATTTATTTTATTTTATCTAAAATAAGAGTAATTATTAAACTATCGATCTAGAAAAAATGGAATAGAAAATAATGTGCTTGCACTTTCGGAAATATTTTTACTAGAGTACTATAACACGAGTACTATATACGAGTACTATAACAAAAAGGAACCATATATTCTACTTATAGGCAGATAATACAATATATTAATAACAATTTTTATTAATATTTATTTACACGCATAATTAAATACTGTTTTTATTTGAAATTATTTTAAACCACCCTTCTACCCTTCTGCCCTTCTATTTATAAAACTGACACATAGGTTCATGATGGGAAGCTATTAATTCACACGTTTTTTATGACTTTTACATGACTGCATTTAAATTCAAGTAAAAATGTTAGATGATTTAAACGTTTCACCCTATGCAAAGCCACTTCAATTCTCTTGTTCCTACTTTAATTCTTCACAACCCCACACATCTATTTTTGGGGGACAAAGTATTGTGGCAGGTTTGGTTTCACGCCCAATCGAATGCAATGACTCAAACGGAAACGTGGCAACTGGTGAACTACCAAAAATAGTTCACTTGTACAATTGGAATTATTATCTAGTTACATTTACGGCAGGTGTTGAAACTGCTATACCCTTTTGACAGCTAAACATATTTGTGGCCGAGGTGAGTCAAAGTATGGATGAATTGAATACAACTGGGTGTAATATATGGAATAAAATATGTTGCCTTATTGTATGTCTTTCTTAAATGTTACTTATTTGGTCTGTAAAATTAAAACCATTGCAGATAGGAGTTGGTGGAATCCCTGACAGGCAATCAAAAGAATTCACTTAGGCCTGTCGGCCTAATGTGTTGATAACTCTTCAAAAATATTATCATACATGGATTTGCATTTTAACACCAACATATTTGGCTTGATAATTCACTATAGGCTCTTCGTGAACATCCGAACCTCGCAACTGTTTTATATCTGATGCGTTAATATCAGCAGAATGTTGTCATGAGTTGTTACTTTTACACACGAGTTTATTTATGTGAGTAGTACCGGCATATGATAGATCCCCGGGTACCTCTCGTAGAACGACGTCAAATAATCGCCAATACATATATTACATATATATAATATATATTATTCAGAGCACACCAAATAATTAAGTGTCTTTTATTGCACGAGATACGAAAATTTTGGATCGAAATTAAGAAGAGGGCAATAGTTGAGTCAGCTTAGAGTTAAGCACTAAAGCTAAAGTCCTAACATCATTTTTATTGTTTTCTTACCATACTTTGCTTTTTTTTTGATTTTAATAATATTTTTGATTTTAATCTCTTAATTGTTAAACAGATTTACAATTTGTTTTATTTGTTAAAAACATAATTTGAAATCTTTCCAGTTCGTTAAGTTTATAATTAAATTTTGTTTTTATATAAAAAAAATTAAATTAAAAAAGTAATAAACTTACTTCTCAGTTTATTTGGATATTAACATTTGTGCGCATATATTATAAAAAATAACAATAAAAAAAAATAGACTACATAGTCGTAACGACAACAATGTCATTATATTCTCTAAATAACAAACATATATTTAGATATAATATAAGAATTGTACCAGGAAATTGAACTAATTAATTGACTTGTTATTAATAACAAAACCCAGAACTTAGTCCCTAATGTACATATTTTATCGAATAGTCAGTCAAGAGTTTTTAGAACCCCAGCAGCAAAGAGAAAGTGCTGGTGGTTGCAGAACGTGTAACAAAATAAGAATAAGAGGTACAAAAGTGCCTTAAAGTAAAAGTAATCATTTGTAGTATTAAAAAATAATTTTAGATGATTGCTCCTAGAACCTAAAAATTTTACCCAGTGTCAACAAAATCCATTGGTCTCAAAAATAGTTTGGATTTTTGAATTTATTTTTATCAAATTTTCTGGGTTTAAAGTTGCAGTACGTTTACACTATCACAATTAATGTAATAATTAGGTAGCAATTAGTATCATTTTCATATCACGCAAATGTACTAATGAAGTTCGAAGATTGTGATTATAAATATAATAAAAGTATGTAAGAATTAAACAAGATTAATATGGTTTTATAACTCATTCTGTATTTAAAACAAAAAAAAAATAATATCGTATACATTATTTGGTTATCATTTGATCAAAAACTAAAATAGAATTTTATCATATTTAGAATTCCCAAAAGAATCTAATATCATTAATTAATCATTATACGCGCTGTGATCAAAAACAAAAGAGTAAGGCTAAGTTGCGTTCTAAATGAGGGAAATTCTAAGATATGTGTTGATAAATGGTAAGCCAAAAATGTAATTAATTAAAAATAAATAAAAATTTTGTTGTTGCAATTAACTCCTGTTCAAAACTGCTCTCGTAAATAATAATATTTCTTTTTATTATATTATTTATATTTATATTTTAATATAGAATTACAGTTTAGTTGAAGAAAAATTAAAGTTAAAGAGACGCAGACATATTTTGTTTACTAATTCACAAGACCACATTTAAAATTTGTTTTCATTTTTTCTCATATAAATTACACTAGTTTGACCTTTAAAGCAACAAAATTTCTCCTTTATAAATTATTAAAATGGGCTATCCATCGTATTTCCCCTGGCAAGTACTGCAATGTCAGTTGCAGGTACTAAGAAATAAAACTCATAAATTATTAAAAGAAGAAAAGTGTTTATTGCGAGATATTCAAATTAAAAGAACGTGCAAAAAGTCTTCCAATTAAGGGAGAAGGAGTAAGGAATCATACATATATGAGACTCTGCTCAAACGTGTGACACCTCGAAAGAAAAGTTCAATAGTTTACTTCTAGCATTTCTCGCTTGTGTCGCAAGGAAAACAACAACATCAACGTCTTTACTGTATAAATGAATGTTCAATAATTATGCAAATGAATAACTAATTTCATCTGTCATAATGCAGACAGATTTTTTAGTTTATTTTAAAGGGTTGTATGATTTATCGATTTCTCTAACAATCACAGTCTTAACAAATTTATTAAAGTAATTTCTTTCTGTGTAAACACTTTGGCCCTCAACAAATTTTGGTTGGTTAACTTTTTTAATCAGACAATCTGTTGTTTTTGTTAAAAATTCAAATTACTGCAGTCATGCACTGTTACTCACCAGATGCGAAGACCACATTAAACGGTATCTTTCTAGCCATATCCTTTGAAGCAATGTGTAAACAAAATGATTAATACAAACTTTTAGTAAATTTTTTGGAATTTTTTAGCCAAAATTCTATTTTAAATACAAACAAAACTGTACACATTACAATTAATTTTTTCTTATTTTAATTATATCAAAAAAGCAATTTTGTTCACATTTTAGGGATTATTTTTATGAATTAATATAATTTTAATTGAATACTGTTTAACACGACAACAGTATGTCCTTAAAAAATGCTCACCACAGACTAAAGAAATGCAAGGAACATGTCAAACAAACATTAAAATACTTTTGTGTGTGTGTGTTGTTTCCAATTCACCACCTCCTTCTACTTTCACCTAATGCTCATGCGCGCTTATTACATTTCTATTCAAATCATATGTTGTTTTGTTGGCACATGTCAAAATATTGACAGCTGTTAAAACTCTAACTGCAATCGTACTTAGTTACACATATATTACAATAATGAGTAAATTGATGGTAAATTGAGGGAAATAGTAAATAAAGTCGGTATAGCAGCGAATGTTAGTATATACCAAAATTTCGAGTAGGGTAAATTAAATAAAAATTAGGTGAATTAAGTGTTACCATTATGAAAATTTTAAAAGATGTTTAATAAATAAATTTTAAAACTTTTAATCAAAAATAATGAATAAGTGCAATAAATAAATAAATAAATATTTACATACAGAAGTGCAGTATAAAAAATCCCTAGGAAATTTTAATATACTTTACCTCAATTTATTCTAACTCAAAATTAAATTCTTTATTTTGTGTAGTACAACTGTATATAGCAATATTGTAAAAAATTCTCATAAACTAATGCAAAACAAAATAGATACTAGACACTAGATATTTTCGCAATTTTTATTCACAGACAAATAATAATAATATTAATATTTCAACTTTTGGTAATTTCCCTCGTGGGAAATTTATTTTTAAAGATTGCATTCGACATTTTTCGCCTTAAGTGAGCTGATTTAGTGATAATGAGCTAGCTCATTTATATGAAATATTTTTTATGGTAAGTCATCCTTATTAATGGCGTTAATGAGCATTACCGCCTAAATGAAACAGTGTGAATGTGGCATTAGCTGCAGTTGAAACATAATATAAAAGTTCAAGTAAATTGATAGCAAATTGAGGAAAATAGTGAATTATGTCGGTATGGTAACGAATGTTGGTATTTATCAGAATTTCGAGTAGCGTAAATTAAATTTTATAAGATGTTTAATAAATAAATGTGAAAACTTTTAACCAAAAATAATAAATCAGTGCAATTAATAAATAAATAAATTGTTATAAAAGTGCAGTGCAAAATATTCCTAGGAAATTTCAATTTACTTTACCTCAATTTACTCGAACTCGCACACATCCTATAACTACAATGACATACTTGCCCCATTGAACAATTTGTATGAATGTTATTGCGAAGTTGGCAACCCTTTTAAATACACGTCAACTGATCACTGACATTAATCACGACTCTAAGCACCGGGGAGATGTTTAATTAGATTAGTTTTTGTTTTTAATAAAATATATATGAAAAAATGATTGCAAAATATAGTATTTTACTACCAACTTACAATGAAAAAGATAATTTGCCAATAATAATATGGCTAATCACGAAATATATGAGTGAAAGGTATGTAAACGAATAGAAAACATCTCTCAAAGAAACAAAATAAAAATATATAATTTTTTTAATACTAGCGGCTTCGATTATGAAGTTCTAATCATCGATGACGGAAGTCCCGATGGCACTTTAGATGTAGCAAAAGATTTACAAAAAATATATGGTGACGATAAAATTGTGTTGCTGCCGCGAGCTAAGAAATTGGGCTTAGGCACTGCCTACATACACGGTATCAAACACGCCAAAGGACATTACGTTATAATTATGGACGCAGATTTAAGCCATCACGTAAGTTTGAATAATTCTATTTTAAACTTCGTTTTAAAGATTTAAATAACTTATACTTTTAGCCAAAATTCATACCGGAATTTATAAAACTGCAGCGTACAAAAGACTACGATATTGTGTCAGGCACTCGTTATTTGGGTTCAGGTGGTGTATATGGTTGGGACTTTAAACGTAAGCTTATATCGCGCGGTGCAAATTTTTTATCACAAGTGTTACTTCGTCCGAATGCTTCGGATCTTACCGGATCGTTTAGACTTTATAAGAAAAGCGTTTTAGAGAAATGCATATCAAGTTGTGTGTCTAAAGGTTATGTCTTCCAAATGGAAATGTTAGTGCGTGCACGTCAGCATGGTTTCAGTATTGCTGAAGTGCCAATAACGTTTGTTGATCGTGTTTATGGAACTTCAAAGTTGGGTGGTACTGAAATTGTACAATTTGCTAAAAATCTATTATATTTATTCGCTACTACATAAAACGTACTTATAGGACATTTCGATAATGTCCTTAACTGTTATATATTTTATGTTTATACTATAAGTATATTTTTATTATATGCATAATGTATATATAAAGCAATTATTTAAGAAAACTTATTTGCAACTAACAATAATTTACTATTTTAAAATAAAGAACAATTTAATAACATTCCTTTACATATTAAATAACGATATCTGTAGTTTTATAAAAATACCATACATGCATCTAAGAGGAACTTGTACTAGACATGTGTATGTGTTCGATAATACAAATACTCAATGCTTTAAATTTAAATTTTATAGATAATGTGTTAATGTTGTAGAAACACGTCGATTTGTCATTGTCTTTTTTTATTTGAAAGAGTATAAAAGCTTTTATCAATTGAAAATAATCGGAATTTAGTTTGAAGATATTAACATAAATTTAGACAATCTGTTTAATTCTTGTTGGTCTCTTTGTTTAATTCCGAAGAGACCAACTGCTTTTGGATTTGTTAGAAGGGACGAACTACACACCACCTTATTTATAATTTATTTCAAGTTATTTGCTTGATAGATCTTCGCGGGTTACAACAACTGTGCCTCCGAGACGATGGCACGGTCGATTCTGGAACAATCTATTTTAAGTTTAAATATATTATATAAATTTATAAAAATAAAAACCCAATTTCTACAATATTTTTTAATTTTAAAAATATTTATTTATAGTTCATTTATTTTTCTAATCAAAAACAGACATTCGTTAAAAACAAAAAAATACAAATTCTTACCAAATATTCTTTTTAGTTACTTTTATATATATATATATATATATAGAGAGAGAAACTTTAAAAATTTATTAAAAAGTATAAATGAATATATAGATACGAAATTAATTAACAGAATTATATTCAGTACTTTCGCATACTTTTTAAATGTTTCGATATCATAAACGCCTACGCAGGTTTCCCACAAAACGATAAAATGGTGTTATGAGTTAAAAATATATATAAATAACGTATATTTTAAATTGCTATTATAAGCTATTATGAATAAAATAAAATTATATGTATGTATACGTTAATTGTTATATTTACTTGAGAACTATAAACTCTTCACAGCTCATACCCCACACATTCAAGGTAAACACAATATTTTTTTTAAGAAATGAAATTTATAAAAAAAATTTATTTAAAAGTAATATACAATTTCTTGTTATTCTATAAATATGCCATTTTTTTAACATACGTTTTCTATTTCTCAGCACAGTACAAACATTTAGTTGGTACAAATTAATTAATATAAATAATCACCGCGACTTTGTGGACCAAAAATAAAATTTCGGTACTAAAGCCCAACTTACACTAAATTCTCACGATTCGGCTAATCTCACAGTACAATTATTGCTAAATATATTTACTATTCATTAAAATATATAATTATTGCGTATATAGACATTGGATGAAAAATGCTGGGGTTTGACACTTTAATCGCAATTTAATTGATGTCGACAAAGTCTAAACGGGAACGTTTTTTGCAACCGGATGGGGTGCTATTTGAGTTGGCATTTGCAGATAAGCCAGAGACGCTGCCTTCACTAGTAGCATGATCACGTTTCTTTGGCAGTGATTTCTTGTCCCATTGTTGCGTCAAGTAGCGTAACAGAACACAACGCTTGTCCATCACTATGCGCTGTTCCGTTGGTATGTCATCTGTTGGTAAATAGACGGATGGGCGTTTCTGTGATGTGCGAGGACCATGTTCTGTATTGTATAGGGAAAAGTTTTTCGGATCATGGGAAGGTAACCCTTTTAAAAACTCAGCGATGACCATTTCGCGAGTAGAAGGAGTGTTATTGCTATTGGCAGCCGTTTTGGAAGCTTATACGTTACAACTGTGGCTCAAAATTAAATTCGCCAAATAAATGACGATTTGTGCTGTTAAACAAAAAAAATTTAACTATCATTATAAATCATTATTTTAAAGTACGTTACCTTGTTCCAATAAGTGTTCACTATAAAATTTAGAAATATATATGTTTCTAGCTATGAAACCGCTTAATATATAAATAATTCAAGTATTTTACTTCTAAGAACAATATATTTCGTAAAAGTGTATAATTTACAGGTAATGTTTTCCAATCCAGTTGACGTTTATTGCATCGACAGTGTGGCAAAATGGACAAAATTTTTATTTACTGAATTAATACTATGTGCGTGAAGACAGTGTCGACGATAAGTCTAAAATGGAAATGAAACATTTTTTGCCGCATGAAAAATGCAGTACACTTTAATTACGGAACATTTATTATTTTATTAAAATTAATGTAGCAAAAAGGATTTTTAAGTAGAAAATTGAATTAATTTCCTATTTCCATCCAACTTTCATATGTAAATGATGCCCTTTGTATGTAAAATGAAAAATTAATATCAGCCCCAAAAGATGGGGTCACTAATTTATTAATAACTTTTAAACTACAGATGCCATTTCTTATATAGTTTATTTTAAAAAGGATAAAATTTCTTTTTATTTAATGTATAAATATATACAAGTTGTTAGGTTAACTTAGGAAAAGTACTGCGATGAAGGAAGAGATGTCATTTTCAAACACTAATTTATTAAAACTTTATTACTTAATCAAAAATTATGAAATAAAAAGCATGTAACAGTAAAAAATATATCTGTTTTTCTGAATATAATTAGTTTTTAGAAAATATGGAGCAAATTTTTTTTAAAAATAATAGAATAAAATTTTGTAAAAAAAAATTACATTACAAAATTAATTATAATTTTAAAAGCATACATTGTGACCGAAAAGTTTCCGGTCACAATGTACAAACGCAAAATTCTTAATCTTCATCAATATTTATTTTATCTCCTTCAAAATATGCTCCATTAGAAGCGATACACAAATGCCAACGTTTCTTCCAATCATCAAAACATTTTTTATTGGCGCTTTCCGGTATGGCTTTGAGTTCCCTCTGCGAATTCTGTTTTTCGTCTTCTATGGATTCAAAACGCGTTCCTCTGAGTGGTAATTTGAGTTTGGGAAACAGGAAAAAGTCACACGGTGCAAGATCAGGTGAATACGGTGGCTGTTTGATGGTATTTATTGAATGTTTGGCCTTAAAATCGTTGATAATGTTGGCTCGGTGCGAGGGAGCATTATCGTCATGAAAAATCCATGAATTATCCTTCCACAATTGAGGCCGTTTACGGCGGATAGCTCTCACGACCGATGCCTAGCTCTCGTGCTATCTCTCTAACACTCACATGAGGATTTTGGAACACGATTTCCTTTGCCTTTTCAATGTTTTCGTCGGTGGTAGAGGCCGAAGGTCGTCCAGAACGCGGCATGTCTTCGACGGTCGTACGACCGTCCTGAAAGGCTTTGTACCACTCATAAACTTGAGTTTTCGATAAAACTGATTACCCATAAGCCTTTTGTAGCATTCGCAACGATTCTGCACACGAAATTTCGTTCGAAACACAAAATTTGATGCAAACTCTTTGTTCAATATTTTTTTCCATTGTTTTTTCGCAACGCACTACTGAGGGGAACTGGTTTCAACAGCTGCCGTAAACGAACTGTCTGACAGATCGCGCTCATTTTTGGCATAGTAATTAAGGACAGTGCTGCCAAACTACATAAACTTAAAATATCGAAAAATATACAGCGCGCGAATTTTAAATGAGAACTTCCGAAAACCTTTCGGTCACAATGTAGATGCAATTGTGCAAATTAGCTTAATTGAAAGAGGAGACTTTAAGCTTGTATTTGATGTATTTATATTTATAACATATTTGATTAATTTAAAATTTATTGAGTGTCAAAGTTCAAAAATGTATGCTCTTTTAAAAAAGACGTTTTTCTTATAAAAAAACATATACCAGAAGTTGGAAAACTGTAAATATAGAAAAAACTTTTAATACAATATTCTAATAATCACAATTATTTGAAAAAATAGAAATAAGTCTAAGTTAATTAAATATATTCAAAAATTTTGTGCAAACTTTGTTAATAGATGGCATGCCATCTTGAATTAAATTCGCTGAAAAATTCAATAACTCATTAAAATGGCACTGCAACAACACAACGTACAGTTGAAGAGTTATTGGTAAGTCCATATAATTGCTAAAGAAAAGCTAACAGTGATTTTTTGTTAAGCTAGCTATATCTAAGAAATTATTAAAAAGAAAAAACTAGAATTTTTTCTAAGACGACTGATGTACCATATTATATATCTTGTTCGATTTACTAATTATATAAAATTAATTGAAATAGGCGCCAAAATGTGAATGCACAACAGTTGGAATTGCATTGATGATAAATTTAGTATATTAAATGTCGAAATGGCATTGAATTTTATTAAACTTACTGCACCTAAGATATTACTTAAATTACAAATAAAAAATTTTCTAAGACGATTGATGTACAATATTATATATCTTGTTCCATTCACAAATTATATAAAATTAATGGGAATAGGCGCTTACTTGTAAAGGCATAACAGTTGGAATTGCATTGATGATAAATTTGGGATATTAAATGTTAAAATATTTAGCGTTGAATTTTTATTATATTTGCTGCACCTGAGATATTATTTAAATAACAAACTAGAACTTTTTCTAAGACCATTGATCTATAATATAAACCTGGTTCTATTAATAAATAAAATTATACTGATTCAAATTAATAATCAAAATCTTATTTTATGTAATGATAAATTTTTCATAATTTAAAATAATATGTTTAATATTGGTTACCACAAAGTTAAACATTTTAAGTTATAATTAAAAATAAATTTTTTTAGTTTTTAGAAATAAGTTTAAAGAAAATCAAGAAAATGATTAACATTATAAATTCAAGAACATTTCTCATTCTAAATGAATAAACATCTGACAGGTTTACCAACAGCGCGTTACCGAATCTCAGAATGGTTACAGGCTCCTAGGGGATGTATGCAGATCTGAGGTCAGTTATTGGTTAATCTGATGAAGTGATAAACAATAATCCAGTCAAGGCGTAGAGAGGGATTATGAAGAAACCTTGCAGTTAATAGAGAGTAAAAGTGCTAAAGTGCACTGACTCAACTAGTCTAAATATATTAATATAAGAATATATGTTGATATAATGTGTAGGCAGCTATAAATAATTATAAGGATGAACTAATTATTAAATATCAAGATCAATTAATAATTCATTTTCATTTATTAGGGATTTTTTTTTTATAAATTTAAAGTAGGAGGAGCAGCTTTAATAATATATAATAATATTATTATATTATTATATAATATAATTCTAGAACAATAAAATTTAAAATTAATATCAAAAAAACGAAAATATTTTTTATGTCGGTACAACAAAAAACAAACTCAGGACGAGAATCGCTGGTCACAGACACGACATAAAGAGCAGAACAACTCCCGTTGACCAAAACCATACTCCAAATCTTGAAGAAATACAGATCATCAACAAAGAGCCTAATTATAGACGTAGGTTAATGCTTGAAATGTTACATATCATTGAAGTTCCGGACAATCAGAGACTAAACTACAAAAAAGGCACAGAGGGTCTTGCACAAATTTACAGGTCTCTGATTAACCATAGAGAAATTTAATATATATTTATAAGTATAAAAAAATTTTTAATTTATCCTCCATTGTTACCCATTTAAAAAATATTTTCGTTTTTTTGATTTTAATTTTAAATTTTATTGTTTTTTTCAAATTAATGTTTTACTTTTGTTTAAATAAATTTAAATGTTAAAAATGTCAAACATTGAAAGAGACAACAATGTTTGTCATTTTTGTTTTGAAAATATGTTTATATGTTCATTTACATATATTTAAATATGTAATTTCTTTATATACACTGAAGATGGTCTACGAATTAGACCGAAATATTTGTAATTAAAACAATTTTTGTGTAAAAATATAATAAATTAAACATTTACCACAGTTTAAAAAGTGTAATTTTTATATATTTTAAAAAACATTTTTATAAACTTATGTGTTGAATAAACGACCTAAGCCCGGTAAAAATATAAAAAACTAATTAAATGTCGGTCGTAATACCAATTTACTAATAATTCTAGAACTTAACAAAAATCATTATAAAGTTAATGATGGTATAAAATTTAATGATTTCTTATTGATGAATAAACCTCGGCTTCATAAAATAATAATATATATAATATATATATGTATATTTATTTATTTATATAATATAATATAATATATATATATATATATATATATATATAAAAATATAATAATATAATAACTGTTTGTACATATAATTAGGAATTATTTAGAAGAAGTTTGTAGAATTAATTATATTACACTATATAACCTTTGTAGATGTGTTTGGGTTAGATACATTTCACTCCCAACAAAAAGACGTATGTATTTTATAATTGAATATACCATAATCATAATGTACCTAATTCTATTCAACGCAATTTATTGTTATTATGTGCCAATGGCCAATTTATCGTTGCTCTAAAATTTATAAAATAGTGTGGTTATCAAAACAAGTACACATAAAAATAAAAACAATTAAAATATGATTTGAAACTGATTCGCCAAAATACAAAATTAAAATTATTTCAATAAATTTCAATGGGATAACATACTCTCCCTTTATCTTGATGAATGGGATTCCGATTCTTCCATCATGCCTCTATATAATCGTTGCTTTCGTCACTCATGTCGTCTACCTGTAACACCCCCGCGCCTGCGCAGTGACCCCACTCCTTCACTATCTTCCAATCAACCTAAAATATATACCCATGCTTTCTGGCTTAGATGAAACTAGCCTGCTAGGCATTAAGCCTATTTACTTTCTTCTTTCTCCCCCGTCTACTTGAATGAAGTTTCCATATTGCTATGGAAATCTTCTCTATTCATTCCTAAGAGGTGGTTTGAGTGGGTTCAAGTCTCACACTGGGGCTTTCGATGCTTTCCACCTACTGCACAAGAAAAAAAATAAAGTAGAAGTGATCTACTTAAAGCAAAAAAACTACCAAAACTTTCCTTTGTCTACTAAAGCCGCCATAAAAACAATTTCATAGACCTGTTCTGATCTTTCTTCCTTTAACAGAATTGTATTAATTTCTGTTCATATCATACTAACAAAATATATGGCATCAAGAAAATTCGGATGGTGTTGACCCTCTTGAGGGCTTACGCTGGAACGATGCTTTTGCATATGCCAAACTCGCTAGACAGTACGTCTACAAACTACACCTTACACTGTATGCTCTTAATATCTATAATCTCATTCTGCTCTCTAGGAATAGTTCCGCAGAATTGCCAACAATGTTTTAACTAGAGAGAACTGGATGAATTTTTAATACTCTACTCTATTACCTATCATTTATTCTAGTTGTGTCATTGTATTGTTCGCGTCACAGTTATTGCATAATTGCTATTATAATCTGATTAACTTGTTAACATGTGTATGCAGAAGATAATATGTATTGAATGACTACAATATAAGTAATAAGGTCACTTATTCATCTTTCTAACACTTCTCTAGCTAGTCCAAATGGTCTACACTATGTTATACTTAACGGTTTCTGTCGCTCTGTCTTAGTATAAACAAAAGGGACCATCGACATGCTAGTACTTCAGCAAATATTCTCGAAAACAACCATGTCAATTAATAAACTGTGTTTAGTTAGATTTTCTATATTGCGAACCTGTCTTGTAGTCCAAGTTGCAATTTATGGGTAAAACTTATGTATTCACTTGTCTTTTGTTGATATATTCCACCTCTGCTAACAGTGCACGTCTGTTTGAATCCGCACTTTATCCGTGCAGTTTGGCTCTTGTGTTCTGAAATTTTGCTGCGCTGCCGTCTATGAATTGTCTGCAGATCTATTGCTATACATCCTATAACCACGTTTATGGCTATTTTGGTTTTGTATTCGAAATATATAGCATATCTTTAAGCAGAATAATGTATATGCAACTGCAGTTACTCACTGGTGACTGTATGTAAACCGAACCCCCGTTAGAATTTTAAGAAAATAGTTAAAAGTATAAGGTATCTACATTTCTACATTGTTTTCAAGTAGTAGAGAAAACATAAACTCGTAATAAAACGCTCTCCATTCATCTTGTCTTGCCGGTGGAAGGAAAGAATAATGAACTTCAGTGTTCTCCATATCGCACGGATGAGATTGGAACGAACTTTTCAGTAAATCTATTTTAACCTACTATATCTTTTAAGGATTCTTCTATAGAACTTTTTTGTCCATAAGTTTTATGTTTTAAATACTTTGTCCTAATCGGACTTCTTAGTCCAGTTTTAATTATTTTGTTCCAACAATAATAAAAAAATTACACTGCAAGTTTGCATATCTACTTTATTGACTATTTGTGCGTGGTACATATTATATATATATTATATATACTCTAAAAATAATATTACTATTCATTGTTTTAATATATTTTTCGCTTTAAATTTCTAAATTAACATTTTTAAAACTTTAATAAAATATTTAAAAAATATTTTTAATACATTTCGTTTAATAGTAAATTGTAACAAATACAATAAGTTTCTAACAATTTTTTTCTTTTTTTTTTAATTTAACAAATCACATACATTACATTGACCAAACCAAATGATGACAGTTTCAGACTTCATAAAAGTTTCTCTCCAGGCACTTCTTTTACTGAATAATTTTTTTTAAGTGTACATTAGTTTTGCTTTAATAGTTGATTATATTTGCGTTATGTTACTGACTTTATTGTTTATTACATTTTAAAATTAATGTTCACCAACTTCACGTAATTCGCGATTACCCAGTGGCAATGGTGGGCGGAAATTATTGATGACCTTTCCGTTCAATTCATTGCAAGGGCAATCTTCCTTGACATCATAGCAATTGAGATCGCGCATTGCATCGAGTTGTTCGCGTGAAACCTCAATTGGTGTCTTGAAGACAATCCAAATAACGCATTCTGAGCAAGGTGGTGTGGTTAAGGAACCTTCATAAGTCCAATAGGTATTAGTAGTTGGTAGAAGCTTAGCTGGATCACAGCCATTGGGCAAAGTAACACGATCGCCTTTATGCACAACAAATGGCAATAAACTAGTTACTTTCTCCACTTCATCATGATGTCTGCCAGCCTAATATTCAAATAGAACATTTAGAACAGTTATTACAATTTCAAAGAGAAGGTTTTTGGTTAAACTTGCTTACGCACCTTTAAAAAGACACCTAATACTGCCAAACCATCTGGTGCAGCAGCTGCTTCACCAAATGTCTTGTATTTAGTTGTATTCCAATGCACCAAATGCAATTCACCAGCAAATGACTCCCCATCGACGGTATGCTCAGATCCCTTGTCATCAGTGCAACCCCAGTGACAATGGAATTGCTCTAATTTATAAATATTATTGCCTAAAGGACCACCAGTCAATTCAGAATCAGCACCATTAACGTCCACGCGCCAACAATAGCCTGTAAGCAATATATGCAATATCGTGTTAAGTGTTGAGTGATTTTCACTTTTTAGATTTATTCTCTTACCAGGATTATTAAGACTCTTCGTATCGGCAGGAACGTACTTCCATTTCAAAGCAGCTGCTTTTAAATCGCGACCTCTCTTGGCGCTTGAAGTGTTAATGTCAACAGGTGATTGACGATGTCCTGATGCTTGGGGAAATTCCTTAAACCAATGTGCTGGTCCTGAAATGGAAATAAAAGGAAATTAATTAATTGTTAAGTCATCTAGAATTCATATTCTAATAGATATTATAATACATTTAGAGATCTAGTGCAAAAAAATTTTCTAAATTCTAAATTCTAAATTCTTTGTGTTGATGACATTTAGTTCTTTTAAACATTTGCAATGAGAAAACTGACTAATTTAGTGAATAGTTTAAAAAGTTCTAGAAAAATAAAAATGGCTTAACCACCTTAGAATAAGATTCGTGCAATTTTAATCCAAGTTGGATTTAGTGTTCCTATATTGGAGAGATTTTATACCTGTCATGTTATCTAAATATAATAAATTGCTGTTGTTTTCATATCGCGTTCTAAAACATATAATATCATAGGTTCCACAGATTTTGATCACCTCCATGACTTTGCATGCCCTACTGTGCAAATGTGGTTGCTCAAAGAGCACAAGGCTCGAAATATATACAGATAATACCAAAAGGATATACACCGCTCATGGTAAGATACAAGATTCTTACTTACTTACTTACTACTGTTCTTCTCTCCTAAGTAGAGCATAAGGCTCCACTTAGATGCAGATAATAATAAAGAGTAGGAAGCGTAAATTCGTTCAAGTATCTTGAAAGTGTCATCACAAACAGAAGCGGTGCCAATGCGGATGTTTCAATACGCATACAAAAGGTAAAAAGGTGAGTGACTAAAAACCATTTGGAAATCCCGCCAACTCACAAAAGAACGAAGCTATGCATAGTTAATCCAAAGGCTAATGAAGTTTTATACAAAAAAGAAGTTTTCCACTCTAGGACTATTCAAAATAGATTAAAACCAAAATTCGAATATTTTTAAATAAAATTTTACAAATTTAATGGCCAAATCGTATCTACAATGAATTTTCTCGCATATACGAGAAAATTGTTGCAAATAAAAGTTAGATTCAAAAGAACAAGCAAAAATATTCTTCGCAGACTATAAAATGGAAACAGTTTGGCAGTAGTCCGCAGACAGCTAGGCACATTTTACGTAGAGCGCAGAAGAACGATTGAAAAAGAAAGCTCACAAATGCGCTGTACATGGGTCATTCTTTTACAAACCGGACGGATTTTGGGCAAAAAATGATCACCGATTCAGCTGAATTTTTTTATGAGCTCCTTTTATAAAATAAGCAGACCCGTATCTTGGGAAAAATTTCTGTAACCAAGGGAGATATGAATGCATGGAGTTTTGAGAATTGGCATTGTAGACAATGGCCATACCTCAGGCTATACAAGTAATAGAAATTTCAAATTTCTTGCACTTTAAAGATAATTGATTGAACTTTTAAGAAATTGTTAAACAATTAAGAATTTTTATTTTTAAGTACTAATATTAACCAATAAATTAAAAAAAAAATTTTTTTTAAATATATTCCCAGAATTTTCATTTTTTATTTAGATTCAGTTTTAAATTTTACTAAATATAAAGTTTCTATCATTTATGTAGCCTGAGATATTGCTATTTGAAAATGTTTCTACAATGCCGATTCTCCAAACCCTATGGGTTGATATTTCCTAGGAAAAAATTACAAAATTTTTTCCAGAGATACGTGTCTTCTTATTTTATGAATAAGAATGTGATGAGGTCAAAAAGGTGTTCGATTTAAAAGAAAAGAAACCCACATGCGCTAAACTGAGAAGAACCCAATAGAGTTAGATTCAAAAGAATCATTTCAGACCTATGCCGTAGCAGGGGAAGCGAATATACATAAAATCATTTTCTAACTTTGCTGAAAACAATTTTTTTTTAAAGTTTTAATTAACTAACTCATTCTAAAACCAGTGGAGTATGCAAGGAAATCTGTCTGTTCAAATCTGTCCTGGAATATTTCGTAGCATTTAACATTAAATATAATGCCTTTCTTTTTCATAAAAATATAAATATATTCATATAAACTCTGAGTTAATTTCTAAAAAATCCCCTAAGTGAATCTATGTTTACGCCTTTGTCTAATATAATGTTTTAGGTCTGCCATAATTTATTTAAACAATAAAACAGTTTATGCTCAATCAAAACAATTTATGATGAATTAAAATATCATAAACTATAGCACCGCTGTTGTATCTTTTATCTGCTTAATGAAATGCTGTCGTGTTTCTGTAAGCAACATTAACAGTTCGCGTTATCAATATTTACGCATTTCCACAGAGTAGCAAATTTAATTGAATAAAGTCGGTTATGTTAAGTGAAAAATTGTTCAAATAATTCAGTTCCACTGTGTACTTCTTTTTAAAGTACTAATAATATCAAAATTATGGTTTATTGTTTTTTCCTGACAATTTCATGCATATGTTTAAAGTATAATATTTTAAGAGCTAAACAAATCCAAAATTGGGTTACCTTGACTTGTTTGAAATAAATGCGATCGTCGAGATCCGTCGAGATCAGTCGAGTTTATAAGATAAAAGTTCAAATAAAAAGATATATGGAAACTGAAACTATATTTATACTATTCTTAGTCAAAAAACAAAAAATAAATAAATAAGATACATCTGGGACAATGCTAAACGCATTTGTTTATTTAATCAACTTATCACCACCTTCGCAGTATAAGAGTTATGGGATGAAGCATTGCTTGCTTCACTAAGTACTTGCGTATCTAATTGTAGAATCTTTAGCTGGATTTCTTTTGACTTTGACCCCTAAAAGTTTGTTAATCATTTTCTACATTATTATTAACTTATATTAAAAAAAATATATTTTAAACATATGATACGACAATGGTCTGGTGTCTGTGTGAAAAGATAGAAAATACCTCATAAATATTATCAATTGTTAATTTATTATTATATTATTATGATTTCGTTCTAATATAAACACAACAAGTAAAATTGTTAATAAAAAACTTTCAAAGTAATAGTAATCAAATTGCAGAAAAATATGCGAACAAAAAAGTCAAGTACGGCTTTGGATCAGTTGGTTAAGGTGCGCTGATTCTGAGCTTCACATTTGGCAGGACCCGAGTTCGATTCCTGGTACTTGCAGTCTCAAAAAATAATTATTTACGAATAATTAAATACAAGAATTATTTCCAAGACCACTGATGATGGGTATGTTTGGCAATACTCGAAACAGCTGTATGGTCAGCCAAAAATTCAATTAATTAAAATAATATAAAAAATAAATTTTTGTTGTTGTATTTCACTACTGTTCGAAAAAACCTCTTTATTATATCATTATTATATATATATACTAGATAACCCGACAAACGCTGTTTTGCCTTATAAATTATTTCTAGTTTCTAGATAAATTCTAGTGTAGACAAAAAGTAACTTACTTATTATAAGTGTGTAAGTATGTGGTATATGCATGAAATAGGCATGGAGCGCTATGAACGAAAAGGATAATAAAAATAACAAACGCCAAACAATATTATTTTTAAGTTATTATAGTTTATTTATTAAATTATTAATTTAAAATCAATAGATTTTATGATACCAAGTTCCCTGGCAACAACTGTTGTATCTTCAAATTTAAATTGTCTTGGATTGACTGTAAATAATAATAATGATAATGGGCCAGTAACATTAACCAACAACAGTCGAAGATAAAAGTACTCAGTGTGTCTTGGATTAACTATAAATAAGCGTTTGATTTAAATAAATTGAGACATGCATCAACTGGTGAAACTTGCTTGCGGGGCATCCATTTTTTTGTTTAAGGCCATGTGAAATAGCGTGGTACTTGTGAATAGAGTAATGTTTTTGCAAAGGCACCAAAATCATCCGTACTATTAAACAATTCAAAAAATGCAGTGAGTGCAGATTTAGGTGGATTTGTACCACGATCAATCACTGTCTCGTTCGTGAAAAATACACGCTGACCATTTTCAAGATGGACGGCTACCTGAACAGCTGCTGGATCCCGTTCATGAATTAGAAAGCCGAAGATACGCCAAGCAGCTTCATTGGAGGTGATGTACCGACCAATTTGGTAGAGCGTAATTTCACCGTTTTTGTTCATTGGAGGAGCATTTACATTAGTATTTTCTACTCTAAACACAGCCATACCACCGCCTTTATGGACATACTTATATATTTGATGCTCTTCACAGAACTGCAAAACTCAACATTAATATAAGCATTGTATGTCTTGCTTAGCAGAGGCGAATACGTTACCACCCGCCATTGTCCCCCATTATCGGGATTTCTTCGACGATATATTGGATATCCGTCGGTATTTGTTATAGTATCATTAGTGAAATCTTTAGAAAAATTTTTAGTACATTTTCCATCTGCCATGCAAGCCGAAGACGAAGAACGAAGTCGATGTAAATGCTCGATGTACTTGTTGGCGTAGTTACATAAAATATTAAGAAAAAAATTTTTCTTTTTCAAAAATATAAACAAAATTTATGTCAAAAAAATAAAAAATTTTTTGTTAAAGCAATAAGGATATTTTTGTTGGGTAGGGACTCCCTAATCACTTTAGCGGTATGAAAAATAGATAGTAGCCGATTCTCAGACCTACTGAATACACATATAAAATTTGGTAAAAATCGGTAAAGCCGTTTCGGAGGAGTACGGTAACTAACATATTCATAATGTTAATTTTATATATAAGATTAATTCTTATTAAATATCATAAAAATTATGAGGTAGTTCCAAATTGCACTTTTGCAAGTACTCAGTGCTCTGTTCTTCTTATTCTATAACTTACAATAAGGATGTAACGTGTTTTAATTTTGCAGATAGAGACGCGGATGAAGACGTAGTTGATAATGTGAAAAAGTTCAAATATGCAGAAGCAAATGAGGATACAGGACGCATAGGTACTATATAAATAGATTTTGTAAATTTCTGAGTAAACAGTGCTTGAATTACAACTTAAAAATTTTGTAATTGGATTATGGATTCATAAGTAATTATTTTTAAATAGTCAGTGTTGTTCGTAAAATTTTAAAATGAATTAATTCAATTCTGTTTAACTATATTTACTTTGATTGCACTTCTTAAAAAATTGATTGCATTTGA